CGAACACTTTTTGGCTTTCTCCGATCTTAGGACTGACCCCCCTCCTGCTCCAACCTCTTCGCGCCGTCCCTGTTTGCAAATGATTTGTATATATAAAATAAGCTTTGTTTTTCTTTTTGTCAATCTTAGTGTTTTCCTATGCATATAATAGTAGATTTTCCTTTTCACAGAAAAAAAAAAAAACGACCATTTATTAAGGTCGATTTATTAATTAAACTATTAAAAAATTTTCTTACAGCAAATAATGCTGGTCCCATATAATATTCCATATAATCATAATATAACGTAAGAATTTTAACAAGATTTTGTAAAGCTGCTACTTGAATTTTAATATTTGGTGATTGTGTAGCTTCACAAACAACTTGCATTATATAATGTCTTTCACTCTATTGATTAAAAAGCAAAAAAGAAAAAAAAAAAAAGAATCATTTAATTTCAAAACTAAAAACCAAATATTCTTTTTTTTTTCTTACATCATTTTGAAAATTATTTTTTGTAAATTCTAATGAATTTAATAAAGCTGTTATTGCAGCAAGTCGTACATTATCATTTGTTTCTTCTTTACGCATACCATAAATAAGTGCAGTTAATATAAGATTACTTTGAGGTTCAAGTACATTTGAATCCTAGAGAAAATCTTTTTTTTCTTTTCTGTAAAATACAATTTTTTTTTTTCTCTTTTTTTTTTCAGCAGAGAAAAAAAAAGGAAAACAAAAACACAATGAAGAAAAAAAACAAAAAAAAACACACGGATGAATGAATGAGCTTACAATATCTTGACATATGTAACCGAGTGCTTCCAAGCTCGCTTCCCGTACATTATCGGCTCTGCCCACTGTAGTAACATTGTCAACCAGGCGTTCTAAGATGGTACACACACATACAATCAACACTCGTCAACACGCTCATGAAAATTTTCATGTAAGAATGAAATATAGAATATGAAACAACTTACTTATTAAGTCTTGCCATTGACCACGTGGTATTTCAGCACAAGCTATATAACCAACACATTGAGCAGCTTGTGATGGTTTTGTTGTTTCAGTACCGAGAGCATTAAAACACTATATATATATATATTAAATTAGATAGAAAATAATATTAAATAATTTTTACATTAGTTTTTATATGATTTCTGATATTTTCTGGTATACTAAGCCATCGTTCTTGATAAAGTTGTTTTAAAGTATCGTCTCGTGAATAAAGAGCATTTTTAAGTTGTAATGCTAGAAAAATAAAAGAAGATATTAAACTAGGATTAAATATAATCTAGTTGAATTTTCTAGGTGCGCAAAACTTCAGATCAAAATTCAATAGGTTAGTCAAATCTTCTTATAATTTTTATTATAACACTATGTATTATCTATAGACAATAAAATTATTGGAATGAAAAGAAAATATCTGAGGACATTCATTCATTAGTACATTTCACAAGATTTAACATGAAAAGTCATAGAAGTTACAAAAAAAAGATCTTTTTTTTTAATGTTCGTACGACGAACTCGCTTTTTGGTCTCATCAATTAAAGACAATTCTATTCACTAACGAACCCAAAAAACAGAGTTAAGTATCCAAAAATGATCTTACATCTCGTGAAATATTAACACTAAGATTATTTTTTTTATTATAAATGGTAGAATTTTTCATGTTGCATCTTTTGGTATATTTGACTTTTGAATAAAACACGTACTAACGAGAAAACCTTTCTATATGTCAAATCAATTTTCGACTAAGACAATATTTATTTGATGAGTAATAGAAAAGTCTAGAATAGTTCAGTTTTTATCTTCTTACCTGCTTGTGCACGTGCTGTTGGATTATTTGTGGCGGTAATTAAAATATCGGATAGTTGTTTTAAAAGTTCCGACTACAAAAAAGAAATCGTTCTAGAAAAATTATTTTCTTAGAAAATTTTCACATACTAAATTTTGTTCAGCTGCTTTAGCAAGAAAATTTCGTGCATTCTCCAAATCAGCTTGTGCTATAAATAGAAATAATTTTAATAATTATTTATCGTTTCATTTAAAAAAAAAAAAAGAATTTTCTTTTGTAAGCAAAAACCTACAGCCAGTAACCGTTCGCTCGAGAATATTGATGAGTCCTTCTGTGGCCATTTTGGACTCGTTTAAAGATAAACAAAAGAAAAAAATGTGTGGTTAATCTAAAACAATGAAACAAATGTTGTTCGATGTTTCACATTTTTATTCAAACATATTCTTTTTATTATAAAAAGCCAAAAAACAAAAAATCAAACAATTTTTTTTGTTTGTTTGTTTTCTTCTTTTTAAAAATCTTCTTCATTTAAGCTAGAAGAGCAGCAGCTGTTGATGATTCATATTTCCATGTTGGTGGTAAAACTTTTTTTGTTTTATAATATCTTGCTAAACGATGAATACGACTTTCAACAAGAATTAAACGAAATTTTGAATCTTTGTCTTTACGATTACGTTCCAAATGTTTACGAATAGCAACAGCTTTTTTTATTAAATGATGTAAATCTTCTGGTTTACTTGGTGCAAGACCTTTGGCTTTCATTATACGTAAAATTTTATTTCCAGTAACAAAACGTGTTTGTGCAACACCATGAGAGTCACGAAGAATAACACCTAGAAAAAAACAAAAACAAAATTTTCTTATTAAGAATTATTTTTCTTTCAGAAAACGGATGACCATACCAATTTGTGATGGTGTTAAACCTTTTTTAGCTAATTTGCATATTTGATCAACAACATCTTCGGATGTTAATTTGAGCCACTAATAAAAAAAAAAAAAAAAAAGATTAAACTTATTATTTTCATGGTTAAATAACTTACTGATGGCACTGTTCGTTTGTAGGGTAAGGCAGAATCTGAAATACCCTTGCTAAAAAGAAACTTAAAATGAAAAATAAAATGAATATGAGGAATTTACCCAGGAGCATGCATACGACCCATGATGACGGTTTTTTAGTCAAAGATCTAGAAAACAAGAAGAAAAAAAGAGAAGGATTTATTTTAAAAGAAAAAACAAAAAAATATGGCCACATGTAATTGATTGTTTGAATTGAAAGAAGTAAATAAATAATATGCTCCTATCAAATTCAAATCGGCCTCCGATAGTCGACAATGGTTTATAGGAAAAATTTTAATAGTTTAGTTTTTGTTAATGAAATTTAGAAATATTGAAAGAAAATTTTTCTTTTTTTAACAAATAATTCTTTCTTTAAATTAGGAAATATTCAAACATTGATTTTCATTGGATGCAAAGATAACTAATTCGGTTGGATCTGTAATTCATGGAACTAAGCAAAATTGATCTGAATGATTCATTGAATAGTTTCTACACTTGCTCACGTCTCTTCGTCTTATAATAATTGGGTCTATTGAACAGATATTTATACAGAAAAATTAGACATACTTTACAATGTTCTTTACGTTACATTTTCTTCTCTTTTGGTAGTGTCATCCATATGGTGGAGAATTTTAATCCTTTGTCTCAATAAATTATCAACGAGCGTGATCTATTAAATATGTCCAGATTTATATTTTGTACAAATAATTATTAAATCCTCTCTGATTCTGAATATGTCTAAATATTTGAATAACAAATTAATTAAAAAGAAAAATCTTTACATAGTGCATTCGATGCATCCGTCAGGGAATCAATACTTTTTATATCTATAAAGATGAACAATATTGAAAATAGAATTTCAAGTGACATGTGCTCTTACCTTGAGAAGTGTAAGTTGTTATACTGAATGGCTGTGACAACGGCGATTCAATTTATTGTAACCTTTTTGTTTGCACTGTCGGCGACGGCGGTGGATAAGAATATTATATATTTTTTTTGTCTTCAGTTGCAGCGGTTAGAAATGGTTAACACTTCGGCAGCGGCCCAGCCGACTGGCTTATATCTCTACTTACCTTTCATACGAATTGTTCGCTTTCTTTGAAAGAACGTAAATATTGCTGTACTAACGAATGGTACGCATGTTTCTATATGAAATATTTATTCATCTTTGACCTCTATAAAAGTCGATTAGATAAATGGAAAAATTGTGTGTACAAAGAAGAAGTGTGTTTCATATTCGATTGCTATTTTTATTGAAGAAATTCTTCAAAGGCATTAGAGAATAGTTTAAACTAGAAGAGTATGTCGAACTTTTCGAAGCGCGATTTGTTGATTTTTGGTCGGCTAAAAACTATTTTACAGAAGTTAAAAATTATGATATAAATAACAAAGTTCAGATTTTTCAGAAAATGAAATTTCATCAGTATTGATTTGTAAGAAAACAAATTTTTCAAGAGATTCTTTCGTATGAACTGATAAATAGAAGACTTCTATTATAAATATTATATATTGAGGACTCATACACGACATAGATATTCAATGAATAGTATTTTTCACATTACTTGAAATATTGATATTTTTTTCTGATAACTATTCACTTTTGATCAATTTTATATAGGTCAGTTTGAAAAAGAAAACGACATTAGAAAAACAGCTACGACCTTGGCAAACCGATTGAGAAACATTATTTTTAATAATGTATTTCACGATATTAAAAAACAAACAAACATAGATTTCGGCTTGCTAAAATTTTCACTTCCTTTTAGAATAATCCGATACTCAACGGATTGCAATGCATGTAGTAAACCTTGCCTATTTTTGTCTAGGATGTTATAGTAAATTTGATTATATCATTGAATAGAACTCATTGAGTTGTGCTTGAAATAAGAACAGAAGCATTTGAACAACTTCATTGATGAATATGGTTAACTTTTACTCAAATCTAGTGTTAACTTCATCTAAAGCTCCCGACACATTTGAAGACCCGGGGTCTTCTATTATGTCTCTAAAAAAAGTCATATTTTTAGGCAATTTCTCCAAGAAATCTTGTTTTCACTTGATTTTTGTCCCTGATATCGTTCACAAATGAGTTTGTTTTACTCATTCCACTTGTGCAAGATACAAAAAAGGAACATATATTATCTCGTGAGAAAGGGGAGACCATGGTACATAAGAAGTACTCTTAGGAGAATATAATCATTGTATCCCAACATTTTGGTACGATATCCTGTTAGCGTTCTTTTTTTAAGGGTAAGATCTATCACAGACAATATTTTATCTTCTTAATAACTAAATAAGTGTAAAAAAGAAAATTATTTTTTGTTTATCAAAATCATTTAATTGAGTTGCTTATGTGAAAGTTTGATTAACCTATTGACTTCTCCACGGAATACAGATCCAGGGAGTGTTCCTGTTCCGCAAGCTATAGGTTTGTAACGAAGCATGTGCCGATGAGAGTTTTTGTGTTATTTAATAAAAAAATGTTTATGCTTTCATTGTTCATCGGTTTTAGTTCATTTTTCATAAAGTGAATCTCGATTGTCAACGAAGAATTCTAACTCACCTGATGGGCTTCTATTCTGTGAGGGAAGAAGTTTAGTATAAATATAATTCCATTTACAGTGAATTCTGTTTCCAGCATAGTTACTAATCTCAAACTAATTTCGATCAATATGATTGTCTTATTAAAAACTATTTATAGAAAATCAGTGGTTGAATATACAATCCGTGTTTTCTTTTGTGTCTGTCTGGCAAATGCCTTTGGAACTTATTGAGAAAAGAAACAGGTTCGCAAACTCAAAAGAAGTATTCATGTATAAAATCATGACATACATACATCAAATTATATTTTCTTTTGTTATGGAAAACTTTTTTGTAGTTCAAGCACTTCACATTTTCTGGAAGAAAGTCGAAGATGAAGATGTCTTTGTATTAATACATATCAATATTTTAGCTAATCTTTTACTAATGTGCAAAGATCTCTTCATGTGTTATACCCGCGAAAATGTACCGTACTCATTAGACCCTTTTTCATGCAAGCGTATTTTTTGTGCGTAGAAACTAAAGAATATTTGTAGAGTAAGCTACAAATGACTCCACGAGATGTTGTTAACAAAGAAACAAAATCTTAAATGGGTAGGTCTTTCCTATAAACTACTTCGCAAGATTTCACTCCCTCATATTTGACACTTCGTTATAAAAATGGAAGGAAAATAGTTTTCGTATTGAATTTAGACATAATTATGAACTTAAATACTAAAACAGTAAATAAAATTCAGAGTCTATTTTAAAATATCGATTTTTTAAAGGGGGGGGGGGGATCTTCTAATATGTCTGTTGTGTCATTGATTCAAGGGGGGTCTTCTATTGTGTCGGGAGGTTTATGTCATTTAATGTTCATCATTCAAATCAATATTCTATTTTAGTCTAAATTTATTAAAAAGAGATAACAAATATTTGTGTAGTATCCAATTGTTCGAACAAAATAATAGACAATAGAAATAATAAAATAAATAAAAAATATCGATAAAACAATGATTTTGAAAGATAATATTTCAAATAATCGAAATGAAAAAAAAAAAATAAATAAAATCTTAATTGAAATAAGTTTGTTTTTGTAAACGTTCTAATGCATTAATTAATTGTAAAAATTGATCTCGAGAAAGATTTTGTTTTTGTTGTTGAAATTTTTCTCCAAATCTTAATCTTATTCTTTCATATTCATTTATCCATGGAAATGCTAATGTTGCTTGAGCATATAATAATAATTCATTTCCATTTCGAAATTGATAAAATTCATATAATTCAGGTAGAATATGATTTTTAATAAACCATTGTTTAACTTCATGATCATTCCATTGTTTAATATCTAATGAATTTCTTACTAAAGATATATTCATGTAAAGATGTTCATTAATCATTGATAATAATTCTTCACAAGTATTCATAAAATCTATATCACTAAAACGAATAGATTTTAATCGAGCTATTCGTTTATGAAGCCAATCAGTTGGCTTAAAATCTTGATCAATAAAAATTGGAAAAAAAAGTTTTTTTAATGTATCTGTAACATAAATTAATTCTTGACGACATGATTTATCATAGAAAAAATCTTTTGATAGAAGAAAAAGAACAAGATCAGATTGTTCAATAGTTTGTGATATTTCTTTCCATAAATATTTACCAGTATTAATATCAATACTTATAGATAATTTAGGTATTGTACTTAATATATCATATAATTGTTGACAAAAATTAATATTAACATGAGAATAACTAATCATTAGTGAATAAGTCATTTGTCTATTATTATTAGATTTATTTTCTAATTTTATTGGTAATAATGGATATAAATTGTGCCAAATTCCATCAATTGTTCTTCTTAATGATGACATATGATGAGATATGTAAATCTGTGGTAAAACATAATTGATTGTATCATTTTCACGAAATATTTCAAGTTTTTTAAGTATATTTATATTTTGAATTAATTCATTTTTATATCGATCATGAAATGATATACTCCAGATAATATTTGCTAAAGCCATAATTGCTAGAACATATGAATTAAGATTATCATCATCGATGTTTTTGTTTTCTATGTTGAATAAAAAAATTTTTAAAGTTGTTAAAAATAATGTTTGACATTGATTTTGTTGAAGAATATAATCAATAATATTATCATTCGTACATAATTTCATTAAAGCAATTAATAACTCTGATATATGACATCCTTTATATTGAAATTCAGTAGATTTTGAGATGTTTTTAATTATTGATAATACTTGATTGATTGTACCATTATTGATTTCATCAGCATAAAGTTCATCTGGATCGACAACTAAGATAAGAATTAAATCCAACAGTAGAGAAATTACTGAACGTATATCTTTATTAATAATAAAATCAATATTTATATTTAATACTTCATTTTTGAATTGACGTACGATTTTAGCACAGTCAAATTTATTAAGAATAATTCCACCATTATCATGACGTCCAATATTATTTAAAATACCAATAATACATTTATATTCATAACTATTTAAATATGATAATGATAACCATTGTAAACATATTTGTGGACAATTTATATTAATAAATATTGGTATTGTTAATGTTTTATCAGTTATATTCCAAATAAAATATAATATTTCTTTAATTAATATATCATTTTGTTTTTCATTTACTCTTAAATGTTCTTTTTTAATGAAATATTCATTTATAAAAGTAATAAATAGAGTTAAAAGAGTATTTTGATATGTTTCTAAATCATTATCTATGAGTTTAACTCGTAAATCATTTAAAATTTGAAAAATTGCATATAATAAAAAACTACAATTATTAATTAGTACATAATCAGTATCTTTATCATTTGACATAGTATTTTGAAGATATGAAATAAGTCGTGTTGATGAATTAAGTTCATTTAATAAAGAGAAAAATATTTTTCGTTGAGTTTTAATGGTCATTTGTTCAATTAATGTCTGTAGATCATAATGACGTTTGATATGAAAAAATTTTCGAAGTAAATCAGTATTTTCTTTTAAACTATGATGCTGAATTGCATCGACAAATTGATCAATATCAAGTAATTTAATATAATGTTTTAAGAATATATTGAAAATATCAAAAGCAAGTAAGGCAGTATAATTGTTTTGAGTGATCAAATTATGACAAATATCATTTAATTTGAGAAAAATTCCCGAGATTGAATGTATTTTACTGGAATTGTTTATATTTGACGACAATTCTTGAAATAATTCGTTGACTTGTTCGACAAGTTCATTGTTTATTTCTTTATTTTCGACCACTACTAGTATAGAAAAGAGAAAAAAAAATACAATTCACTCATGACGGAACTACCTAAATTGTAACTTGCAATTTGAGTTTATATTGCGCCCATAAGAATTATTAGTTCGAAATTCAGTATCTCGCCAGAAGAATATTCTTTTCGACAGAAACTTTCAGAGATATTCAATGGATCATTTGATCTATCCTGGGCATCCCTTAGTCACCAGGACTGAGATGGGAGGAAGGTTAATGATTCAGAAGGATAGTTGAAAGATTTTTCAAGATTGAGAGGATGGTTACCGTCATAGTGGACATTTGGTGAAAAAAATGACAATGCTATTTTTTTTTTATTTGAATAATATCTAATATACTTTGACCAATGACCAACTTTCTGATTTAAAATGTTATTCTAGCTGTTTTAGAATTCGGAGAAATTCTAGGCTTAAAAAAAACCAGGCTTCTGTTATTTTAGAGGAAAGTATCTTTTTTCAAAGAAAATAGAAAGATCTACGGAGTAAATCGTAAAACTTCAGCTCTAATATTCTGTATGAAAAACGCTGTTCGAACAATTTCTCCATTGGAAAAAATACACATGCTTTCTCAACTTATAGTTTTCTAAAAAGATTATATTCAGTATAGTCAATACGTATACTTTACCATAGTTCCAAACTTGATGAAACTTTTATAAAATATTTTTCTCTGTCTAACACGTCTATGATACGTGTATGGGCAAAAATTCAGAAAAGCTACCATAACTGGACTTCAAAAGGTCATGAGCAAGAGTCTTTTCAGGATTTTTCTAATCTTTCCAAGACCTTCTTGCATATCCAATATGAGTTCAAACGTTGGATTACAATTTCCTCGTCAATGCTATAATATTGACAAAGATGTATAGAGGTTTTTTTTCTCATGAAGTTTTTACAATTGTATCATGCACGACAAATAAACTTTTTAGATCGTCTTAACAATATAAAATTTATTAGGTGTTATGTTCAATAAAATTTATTTCTTACCTGGAGAATTTGTTTGTTCAACTGCTGTTCTGACAGTGAATTTTGATATTGCTGAATAACTTGCCATTGTTTAATGTGATGATAGTATACGGTTAGTATTTTGACGTTTGTTAATAATAAAAAGAAAGTGCGAGATAAGAAAAACATTTATTATATGAGTGAAGTCACCTTTTATCTAAATAAATAGAATGATATTGTTCTACGTTGTAATACTATGAAAATAAAGGCTTACTAGTAAAAAATGAACTTTTGTGAAACACGATCTGAAAGGAATGTTGAAGTGTTTAGGGTAGAAATTTTGCACCGCCCCCCCCCCGCCCCCCCACCACACGGCGAGGCA